TCCTCTGTCAGGACAACACCTAAAGATGTCCACGAACATCTGTACAGAGCCCTTAACATTAAAAAAAGATCCATTCAGTGAAGTTGTGATAGTAAGCACTAGTAGTAGTAAGCACTGTGCAGGATCATGGCCTCATGTTTTAATGTGATTAAGGGAGATGATATGTAATTCATGTGAAGAAAGATCTCTGACTTTTTTCAACGAATGGTAGCGTGTTTTTTGGGTTTTGATTTGTTGTGTTTGGTGTTTTGTTTTTTTTTTTTAGCTGAACTCTTCATGGATCAACAGCACCTCAAAGAAGCACACTTTTGTATCCAGGAGGCAGCTAGTCTTTTCCCCACATCTCATGCTGTACTGTACATGCGTGGGAGGCTTGCAGAGATGAAAGGCAATTTGGAGGAGGCTAGGCAATTGTATGATGAAGCGCTCACAGTGAATCCAGCTGGAGTGGAAATTATGCACAGCCTGGTGAGTTTGCAGGGGCTCAGCTCCATTATAGTATTTATGTTCCTGATTAACTGTAATAAGAGGGAAGAGGGCTCGTGCTTGCTCTGGATGCCATTGTCTTCCTAATCCTGAGAGCAAGTGACTGTTCCAAGAATAAATTGGGTAGCTTGAACCTCTATTTTAAGACTGGATTGAATGTTTTTAACTAATTAAGACTTGTATCAAAAATAAATACTTTAATTGACAAAGGCTGATAGTTTTGGAAGTCAGTTCACTGCTTTGTCTTTGCTGTTTTTCCTACTGACTGTTATGCATTTTAAGTAAGCAGTACACTGAGGTTTGAAAGATCTGAACTAAATAACTGTAGAATATAGGTACATACAGGGTTTGTAAACCTTGGGTTGGAGTCTTGTGTCTACTCAAGTCAAGATAAACTATGAGTTCATGATAAAATTCATCTGTTATTGTCTTAAGCTGTGGCTTAGCTCGCACCTTGTATAGTGGCAGTGATTTCCACATTTGTGGGGTTTCTTTACTAATACTTCTATCTAGCAAGAATTTTTTTCCGCTGCACCATTCCCAAAACAGCCTTATTGACAACCACAGGGCCTAGAGCTTAAAAAAAAAAAAAAGAAAGAAAATAAAAATAATAATACAGGGAGCTTTGTGGAAGACCAAAATCCACTTCTCTTATGAAATCAGAACAGTTAGTCATATTTCATCAATGATGTGTCTTGTTAACTGTAGCCCTTACTAGGTGTGTCTGATATTTTAGAAGTCTTTCTTGACTAATTTAATTTTTACAGGGATTCTGTATCTAATGTGACCGCTTTGTGTCTTTGCTAGCAGATTTATATTTCCTGGCATAAATTTGGTCCTGATGAGGTTTGCGGGCAGCTCCAAAACTGAAGGGGTATCAGTGCACAAGAGGAGAAGCATAAAGTTATAACTAAGAGAAAACAGTAGAACCTACAGGCCAGGGATGAGGTATTTGGTAATAATGACTGTTCAGTGCAAAACCAGCAAATGAATAGCTGGTGCCTATGTCAGAAGAAGGTTACAGAACAGCTACGCACTTATCAGGCTTTTTGGGGCAATAGTATTACTTTGTTGCTGTGATCCAGCCTTTACAAAATCAGTTGGTAAAAAGCTGGCAAGATAGAATGATGTTCTTTGCTCAGTTAGTGTCATGTTTTCAGACAAGTCGCTGATATGGGAGCAGCCATCGTGTTAGATGCCAACGTGATACTAATAACTTTCATTTTTGTCTTATTTTATGGGCAGAACCACCGTGTCTTCCCATTTCAGTTGCTTGCAGTTTTCTCTAGTCATTTGGACTAAAAATTTCTGAGATGCACATCTGCTTTAGCCCAGTTTACTTTGGAAAAATGTCACCCAACATGGTTTAACTGTTTCTGAAAATGAGGCTAAAGAAGAGACCTTAAAGATTTCTTTACTGTGCTTTAGTGTCTCAAGGTTTTGTCAGGAATATGTAGTCTTTGTAACATATTAAGGTGCTTTTTACCATCCCTAAGAAAATCCCTCCTAGGTTATCCAAGTTATAACCTTTAAAAACCACATTTTATATGTGCTTAGTAGATACGTATTTCTGAAACTTCTAAGGAGTCTGTGAATGTTCATTCCCCTCAAAGCCCAGAAAGTTCCATTGTTTCTTCGTCCAGGGATGGAAGTAAAATTTAGGAGAGGTGAAAAAGACAGTGAGATGGGGAACCCGGGGACAGAGACTCAGTCCATAAACAAGTAGGGAAGAGGAAAGATAATAACAAAGAGACATAAGGATAGACAGAAAATAAGATAAGATAGGTGACACTGTGTAAGACTGGATATATAAGAAAAATGAGACTTGGTTAAGGAACCAGACCAACACACATGGGTTGAGGAGTGGGCATGTTGGAAAGTTGGAATTAAAGGGGTCAGTCTTAGGAGAGAGACAAAGGAGCATGAACCTGTAAGAGCCCTTCCACTCCATAGCCTTCAGTCTCCTTAAAATTCTGAATCTTCCCATGCTGGTGCCAGCAAGTATCAGTGAAAATCACTTGCTTAAATATGTGCCTCATGCCCGTCAGCTTGGCCTGTGGTTTATATGTGTTAGCTAACATAGCAGAGGTCTGGTCTGTCGCTGCTGATATGAATCATTGCAGTAGTATAGGATGCCACATAATGGCATTCATTTGTATGCTTTTCCAAAAGCTAGGAGATTGCACGTAACAAGTTAGAAGCATCTGATGAGCACTATAGAAAAGCCTGTAAAGAAATTAATCATTCTGCCTTCAGGGCTGGAATAATGTGCAGTAAACAAGGTTTTTAGGGCTATGCATCAAACAAAAAGGGCAAAAATGAAATACCGAATGGCTGCTAGCAAAGTGATTTTGTCCTGTGTACTGAATGGGACAGTGTCCCCACGGAGAACTTAAGACTGGGTTTATGTAATTGAGGATATAATGTAGCAAGTGGTAAATTCTGCATCTCGAGGCCATCAGAAGACGACTGGATGCCTTTCTGAAATGTATGTATTAGCCAAGTACTAGCTGTACTGTTATTAAAAATGCAAGTTCTTGAGCACAGTATGTTCAGTCCCCTAGCAGAGGGAAATCTATGTCTTGGATTATGCAAGGGGCCGAACTAGATTATCAGCTAGTTCCAAGTGGCTTGCAATTATGCAAGACACGTACACAGGCAGCTGAAATTAAATTCACACATGCTGTTTCTGTCCTGGTCTCCCCAAACATTTGAGTACATAGTTTTCCCACTGTAGTAATACTGTTGTGGATATGAAATAATTTAGGG